GATTTTCTTCCGTTGGGCAGATCTTTCCGTTACCTGAGTGATTGATGATGGATCCTCTGATTTCGGGCTTTAGCGATCTCCGTTGTAGAGCTTCACACTCTTGTTTTCCTTTGATTTTGGGTCTTTCCTATATTAGCTTTTGTCAATCATCTATCAAATCATTGATTGATTCTTCTTCCAGATTTCCGCTGCTTCTTCCTTTTTCAAATCATTCATTGATTCTTCTTCCGAATTTCCATTGCTTCTTCCTTTTTCATACCTAATCATTGATACTTTTTCTTTCCTTTGCTTTCGTTGATAGATTGTTTCCTTAGTCCATGCTTGAGTGATAGGGAATCTTGATTTCTTTGTTTTATCCCTTGTGATCCTGCACCAAACGTGATATATTATTTTTTTCTATCATTGAAACTCATATTTAACATAATGACCTTTTTGTTCTGCTTTTTCATGATATCACAATAGAATATGCATTTAATAAACATGCATTATTGCTAATCAATCATTATACTCAGGATTAAATCTTCTATATATTGTGGACACGTCTCTTTCTTTTTGGTCGGCCCTTAGGCCTAAATCTTCATTAGGCTCGTAATGCTTTTAACTTATTTTTGTATACCAAGGTGTTTCAACTGCCTTAGTCACATCAATTGCGACGAGGAGTATACCTTTACTATTAGAATTAAAACTTTCTATTCCAAAAATTTAAGAGGAGATAGTCTTGTGTTATGTATGTCAATCATGTATGTTTCTTCTTACTGTACTTCAAGTATATATCATGCTCATCGGATAGCCCAATATAATGAACCTTGCAAGCGTACGTGATGTTGAAAAGACAAAAAAAAGGAATTCATCTTGAGCATCCCAAAATAGGCTCTTTTTATGTTCAATTTAGATTATGTTTGGCCAAGCAAAGAACTGTTTATTTTGAAAAATATTTTTGCTCATAAGTGCTTTTTGAGAAAAAGTAGTTTTGGAGAGTGTAGTTAGCAATTCATTTGAGAAATATTTTTTGTAATTTTTGATAAATAAATTGTGTTTGATCAATCTTTTCATAAAATACTTTTTTGAGTGTGAAATTGCGAAAAGACAGTAAATGTTCAGCTTACAATTAGTATTATTTAAAAGAGAAATAAATTTAAATACTTATAAAAGAATTCAAATACTTTTTATTTTTATTTAGTTAGAATATAAAACATAAAGTTAAAATATATATTAAAGATTTTAATCAATATAAAATTAATATAGTTATCCAAAGCAATAATATTGGGTATTTGGTATTACTTATCGTTTACTTGATGATTCAAATATATCAAAATAAAATCATTCGGTATATTTAAAAATTTGCTTCATAAATCCTATATAAAAGAAGAGATCCTTCATAAATTAAAATTTACTTAATTTGTAGCTTCTTCCCAAAAGCAGAAAAAAAATATTTTTACTGCCGCTCAAACACACTTATGTATTTTAGCCAAACACATCAAATTTCTAAAAAATATTTCTTCCGACAAAAATAGTATTTTTGGCCTTTCACAAGCTTGGCCAAACATGCTCTCGGTCAATCACATGTGTAAGTGAGATAACCCCTGAAAGTAATAGTGAATCTAATTTAGACGTTGTGAGTGTTACATTAAGAGTTTATTCCGAAATGTATTTCACACGCTACTTTATACTTATTTCATGGACTCAAAAATCAACTCAGAAATAGTGGATTCTAACAAACCTGCAAATCCGTGATTGGATCAGCCATCGGAGGAGCAGTGAATTGTGGTACAAGGATGTCGTCTTGCATGCATGAGCTTCAAATCATTTGGTCCGTAATAGCATTGCTTGTTTCAGAAGTACTACTAATTATTATATATATACTAAATAACACAAGATGTGTCGGCCAAATACCAAAGAGGATGGAGAAACACACTGAATATCGATCTTTGACAATCATGACATTCAATTCGTCCCACTTTTCAGTTGAATGTTGGCTTTTACGAGGGTTACATCATGTCACCTTCCTTAATTTTTCTTTTGAATTTACCACTAGGACATGTTGTTCTATAAGCATAAATAAATAAATAATTATGGCATTTGATTAAGCTCATCATCTTAGTCAAATTTTTTGGCTCCAACTAGGGTCCACCAAACATGAGTCATCACTTATAAAAGGTTACTCACTTTCGCTTCCTATTTTCTTATTTTAGTGGTCAGGTCACTCCCCCCACCATCTAATTCAATCTTGACTATCACACTCACTCGTAACCTTAGGATCATTTCTGTTTCCCACACAACATAGAATGTCGTTATCTTCGTTTGAGACAATAAATAGGTAAAAGTATACTCGCACTCCAAGATTACACCAACCTATATTAATTTATTTTTGCTGCGTGATAAATTAAAGTGCACAAATGTATTAACTAATCATAATTTAGGAAATAATTATTAATGCATGTATAAATACGTTTCATTGAATAGTTAAAAAAATCGAGTGTTGCTAAAAATAATTTTCCAAAAGATTAATGAAACTCTCCTTTGAAACAAATATCTGTCTCAAGTTAACTGCTGGTCCATATTCAGATTAGGACAAAATACAAAATAAGTCGGTCGGCTGAAACTAATTGTATTCGTAAGGCTCCAAAGTGTATGACAAATGTATATTATATGTATATAATACACATATATTAAAAAAAAATTACATTTTACCGGTTATTATTTTTTAAAGCGGCTAAAAATATAGATTTCTCGTTAGATTACTATGGTGGGCTGGTTCATAGGCCTGCAAACATGTGAAGCCCATAATATAAAGCCCAGACCCATGATATAAGGTTCTCCTAAAGGGATGTAACCTACGGCCACTAGCTTCTGAATTTTCTTTTCGGGAAGACATGGTGAATGAGAAGAAGTAAAAAAACAAAAACAAAAAAATATCAGAAAATATATAGCCTTGGCACTTTCTTAGGGAAGACCGCAAAAGGTATCTATAAGCGACGTTGAATTGAAAATTTCCTTGGAAATCAAATTGTTCACATATAGAAGAACTGAACAAAATCTTCAAAATTGAATTACTAAAAAGTTTGAATTAAGAAGAAAGAGAAAGTAAGGAAAGAGACGGTCTTTGTCACCAATAATAATAATAATAATAATAATCAAATACAGGGAGCTTTGTCAAAATTACTTAGCTCCATTCAATGTTTACTGCAAATCGAATAACTTAATCTTGAAATTACAAATTAAAATGAAAATATATACCACGGAACCAAAGTTAAGTGACAAAAGCTATATATAAGACATTATTATTAATTTTGCACAAATAAAATATTTTCAATAATTTGATGGCTTATTTCTCCCTTATATTCCGGGGATTGTAATTCTGCTGTATTTAATTCAACAAGTATAGGAATCTAAGTATCCATCTGCAAAGCGTGCGGGGCTGGTCACCTAAGGTTTTCCAACTCTGATAGTTATATTCGAATCCCGAAATAAATTTCTTACCTAAAAATAAATAGGTATCTAGGTTCATCCAATCCACAATGAATGTAATCCCCGGACCACCAAAGGACAAAACAATTTGGTCGCTTTCAACACACCATTCTAAGTTTTATAATTCTTTTGTGTATAACATAATCATAATTCCACGACAACAACCCCCCCATAAAAAAAAAGTACAAGATGTGCATTTATTATTTTTTGAAGAACGTTTAGTGATATTTTGCTCTCCCGAGAGAATATACCATGAGAAATCCGTGTTCTGCAAATTTCACAATCAGCCATATTTCAGTCTGTTTCTGCAATGGCTATCTAAGGAAGTTGCTCGAGCATAACTACATTTGACAGTGTACACAATTTTTGCACAAAAAAGTAGGTCTCTAATGCACGCTTTTGCGAAATTGCTTAGATTATAAGCCCACCTATAAGTCGACAAAATATGAAAAGATTGTTAAAACTATTTGGAGGCTGCGAGAGAAAAACGGAGAAATGCTTTAGTTTGCTTTACCTCAAGAACCAGCAACACATCCAGTAATAAATTTAAAGAGGTTTTGAGCCTGGTAGGAGCTCTTTCATTTTATTATGTCATACGCGATGAGAATCAGATGATTAATTATACCAAAAAAAAAAGTAACAAGTTTACATGACAGCCTATAACGGGATAACACCAAATGATTCCTTTAAACAATTTGGAGGCTACGAGAAAAAAAGATGACATCAAATGCAATAATGAAAAATGAAACAGAGGGAGTAGAGGTGAGACGTATCTTAATATGTTACGCGGAAATCCCAAAATCAAGTTCACTAGAAGATGGATCGACCCTATCCAAGAAAAAAGGAATGAATAGATTTGAGTTATAAAGCAAATAAAGGAAGAAGTGAAAGAAAATAGTACTCATTCCTTCCCAATCTAAATTTATGCGACACTCTCTTTTTGAATTAAAAATATATTATCTTTCCTTATCTAAAAAGGATTTATTTTTAAAAAAATTATTTTTTACCCTTAATGAATTGATTTACTACAAATATCTATGATTTATTTTAGATCAAAATATTCAAAAATCTTCATTTCTTTTTTAAATTAAGTGCGGAGTCAAACATACCACATAACTGGGAAGGAGGGAGTAAAAAACAAGAGAAGAACCTCAAATCAAAAATCACAGTAAATCTTTAGCAAGTGTACCAATGTGCACATTACTGTTGCAGATAAAAATAGCCAGAGCAAATCTTTCCTTTTTTCACCACCCTTCCAAAATTATGCTTAATTAGTCTTTACCAGCACCACATAATATCTAGGACACTATTGCATTACTCCACTATACACTATTGTATTATTAGGACACTATTGTATTATAGTATACTGCTATGAGCAGCTATATAGTAGTATAGATTCTCATTGATCATCCTACTACCGAGGATACTGACTGTAGCAACAACTGAAAAAAAAATTAGTAGAATATAGTAAATCTTTAGCCAGAAGAATGGATTTTTAATTCTACATTCACAGAAGTGAAGAAAATATGAGAGACAGAGAGCAAGACAATGAGAGACCCATTGATTTTATTTTCCTTCTTTATTTTGAAAATATAAAATCCAAGAGAGAAAAGAGAGAGATACACATTTTTTGGCCCTAAAATTCTAATCTTTTTGTACAAAGAAACACTATTCGACAACAAAAATTAATTCTGAGACAACCCAAAACTCACCTTTACCCTCCCCTCCAAAGCTTAGTTCCATAATTCATCAAAATCAACACTTTCAAAATTCACATCTTTTAATCAAAGACTTAATCTTTTGCCTTGCAAGACCTTAATCAAGCTATTAGCATGCCTTCTGACCTTCTCATTATCATCTTCCAATAACCCAACACAAATCTCAAAAACCCCTTCTCTTACAGCCACCACACACATTCTTTCACTGTAACTACACAACAAATTTACAGTCAACAAAGCGTACTGCACAGCTCTTGAAGATCCATTTTTCAAGATTTTAATCAACACGTCAATTAACCCACCAAATTTCATCATCTCTTGACGACCCTCTTTACACCTTGCTAATAAGCCCAATACCTCAACAGCTCTCTCAAGTCCCGAATTAGCATTCTGAATCAGTATTGGAACGGCCCGGTTCTCCACAACCCGAACCCGATTATCTGGAAAGGAACATAACGTATACAGAGCCGTAGCAGCTTCTTTTCTCTCTCTAACATTACCACCCCAAAGAAGTGAAATTAATCCAAGAATCGCATCTGGGTACGCCCCAATTGTCGCTTTACTCACTTCCACCACCGCTAAACTCGTCAGAACCGTGGCGGCCACCGCCCTGGAGTCGCCGGCGCCGCTCCGTAACGCTGCCACTACTTTCCCCACCACNGCCCTGGAGTCGCCAGCGCCGCCCCGTAACGCTGCCACTACTTTCCCCACCACCCCTTCAGCCACCAACCCCACTTTGTTATCATCATCCAGGCTCAAATTCAACAGTAAATGAAGCGCCTTTTCTTGTAACCCACCGGCCGAGTCATCATCCGAGTTGACACAGTTAAGAACAGCAGAAACGGCGCCTGACTCAATGAGTTTTCGACGAATCGCAGAGTCACGCTTGGAGAGCTTACTGAGTTGGTCGAGCGTGTTGAGCTTAGAATCTAAAGGGGAAGAAGAGGAAGCTATGAGGGTTTGAATAAGGGATTGTGGGTCAGGGTAAGAGAGTGGTTTCGGGAAAGAGACGAGGGTATAATTGGAAATGAGACTGCGGAGGNGGTTTATGAGGTTTAGGTCGAAGGAAAGGGGTTACACTTGTGAGGTGCAAATATGAGGTAGAGGAGCTCAGCTTGTGACACTGTGCATCTGTATGTGAAATGACTTTTCCCCCCTTTTTGGAAATGAATTTTCTTTCATTTGTTGCTCCTTTTTGCTTTTCTAACTAATAATGGTGTTTGTTTCAAAATTTGCACTGAGTTTTGGTCAAAACTGTTCGGTTACTTCATAAAATAAAATAAACACCTTTTTTTTTTTTACATAAATTGGCTTCATTAATATCTTAGATAATTTTTTTTTCAATTATATTGAATGATTGATTGCATAGAAAAGATACATAACTAGGAAAGGGAACTTAAACAAAAGAATATGAGATTGTTTTACGTAAAAACAAATTAGACTGTAATGTGTTACTAAAGTTGCTTGGTTAGTGTTGTTCGCTTCACTCTTTACTTCCACTTCTTAACTTCGAGTCTTCATCATCTAATTCGATGATTTTTATATCATCAATCCACAAGATTCTTTTCGTAAAAATTAAGTAATCTCTTTTTGAAGTTTTAAAATTAAAGTTCAAATAATAAACTATTAGAGTCGTGCTTTCTTATAATCTGTTTGGCCAATTTTGTTTTTGGGCCAAAAGTATATTTTTTGGCTAAAAATATATATTTTTTTAAAAAAATTGACGTGTTTGGCCAAACTTTAGAATGAGAAAAAAGTACAAAAAGTGCTTTTAAGTAGAGGCAGTAGTTTTTTAGAAGCAAAAAAAAGTAGTTTCTCTTCAAAAATACTTTTGTGAGAAACACTTTTGAGCAAAATACACTTAGAAGCAGTTTTTAAAAGTTTATCAAACACTAATTACTACTCAAAAGTACTTTTAAAATTAATTAGTCAAACATAAATTATTTATCTGTTTATCACTAAAAGTACTTTTTAAAAAGTACTTACGAGAAAAATACTTTTTAAAATAATCTGATTTTAAAAGTTTGGCCAACCAGATATGACAAGATAACTAATATGTCAAGTAAATATTTTAGTCAAACACAAAAACTTAGAATGTGAAGGTGTGAAATGTAATTAGGAAATCCTATCATATAACCTGCTGGAGAATGACAGAGAACTGAGAAGTGTGATTTTGCCGTTTGGAATAATCAGCTAAATGGTTCAAAAGCATTTGTCGGTCACTTTGCCCCTTAAAAAAAAGGGAAATTGAATCTTATCTTTAACACAATTTTCTTAAATCTTTTCCAATAATTAACAATACGAAAACCACAGTTTAATTAAAAGGGGTACTTTTGGAAGTAAAACATAGTACCCACCTTAACGTCCCCAAATTAAAAATATCGCTGTCTGTCGTCACGAGAAAGTCTAACCGTTATGAAAACCATATGCATTTACTGACTTACCCCAGTAGTGCAACTGTTATAAGTCAACTCACATAAAGTATATGCAAAATAAAAAAGAAGAAAAAAAACGTACAATTATTATAGTCCAATATCACAAAAACACGTCAATAAAAGTTGAAGTTTCTTGACCACGTGAATTTCGTGATCCTGCGGCGAGAAAAGTACTTTTAATCCTCCCGAATTTAAGACAAATTTATGATAATATACTTTTGGACATTAATAAGCTCTTAATTGGTATAAGAAAATTCTATGGAATTGATAAATAAATATTGATAATTAGATAAATATTGAGTTTGATAAAGCTGATCAAAATGACTTATAAATATATTTTTAACTTATTTATGTATTTGATAAATAACTCGCGTGCTTATAAGTTTAAAATAAAATCATCTTTAAATCATAATTTGGTCCGTCCCAGGCCCCAACATTATCTCATGTTTTTCTTCTTTTGACAATTTCGCCAGAAGGTTGTTGGGACTGGCTTAAAGATGGCGGTGCAGCTAAGGACAAAATGGCCAAAGGCAGATTAAAGCGAATTATGTGGGTTAAGATGAATTTATTATTTTTATTCGAGTTATGTATACAACAACAACAATAATAATATATTCAATATAATATTACAAATAAGTTCTGAAAAGAATATTGTATATGTACAAAGGCGGAATCAAGATTTAAACCTTATGGATTAGAGATTATATTCCTTTCAAATTACTGGGTTCTAAATTAATACGTTTTATATATCCAATGAATTTCCTAAGACAAATACATGGTTCGAACAAAAGATACTGGGTTCGGCCGAACCCATATCCGGTACTCTACGTCCGCCCCTATGTATGTAGAGTTACAGACCTTACCCCTACCTGGAGAGGTAAAGAGATTGTTAGTCGAATTATGTATAAAAATATATTAAAAAAAGTAATATCATACTTCTCTAATATGATTACACCAAATTATATCAACTAACTCTAAATATTAAATTCACATATACAACAACGAACAACAACAATCCAGTAAAATTTTACTAATGGGGTCTGGGGAGAGTAGTGTGTACGCAGACCTTACCCTTACCCCAAAGGAGTAGAGAGGTTGTTTCCGAAAGACCCTCGCCTCAAGAATACAAAAAGAAAATTCAGGGGTATGCATACATGAGGTGCTTTGATTCGGTTCTCAATTTTATTGGAATCAAACTAAACCAATTATATCGGTTTGGTCGTTTCAATTTTTATCACATTTTTACGGTATTTTTTGTCACATAAATATTATTTTAATTTTACTTTATTAGAGTTATAAATAAAGTTGTAATAAGTCAATATATGTTTAATAAGAATTCTAACAAATTAAAAAATATATGATCTATTAAAATATTTTTGTGGGATAGTTTTTTGTAACACGTGATACTTACTTTGTTAGTCTAACATTAATATTTTACTGATGTAAACTTAATCAAATTTTAATAGTTACCAACTCCTAGATCACTCCGGAACCTTCTAGAACCTTCCATAGCGCAAGATTGTGCTTCCATGGCCTGACGTGTTCTTGGCATTGTCTTGGCCTGGTAGCGGACCTCTTTGATAGTTCGACCCTTATCCCCCGTCTAACTCAACTATTCGACTACCTCTCCCACTCATCAAGGCAGACATCAGTCATCAATTGGAAGCGGGCAAGATGGTGATGAATTGCGATTGGTCTAAACCTTCGACTCTTTTGTTTGGGCCGGTAGCTAAAAGAAAGTCCTCGCTTTCTCTTGAACTTAAAACTTAAATAATGATATTCTTTATTTAATTTTAAAATACCGAAAAAATACCATTTCAAATTCGAAAAAGATATAAGAGTTTAATAGATATTAACATGTGAATGTGAACGGAGAATAAAGAGATTAACGCATTTCAATAACAATTGATAAAAAGTAAGGAAACACGTTAGGATCAAACATTATTTAAACAAAATAAAAATAAATGCACTTTATAGTTCTATTAAATACTTAAAATTCAATCGATCATGAGATGATCATAAATATTTATTGATTTTTTTAAAAGAAATTTTTTATATAGAGTTGTAGAAGTATATATATATATAAATTATATATTTATATGCCAATTTGGTTCGATTTTTTCTTACTCGATATCGAATCAAACCAAACTTAATTGTTTTTCTAATCTATTTATTAGGGTAGAAGGTTAGTAGGTAGTCGAGTGTGTGTCTTCCCCATACCGGTAGTTAGGGGTGTACAAACCGAACCAGAAAATCGCACCAAACAGAAAAGTCAAACCAAACCGATTAAAAAACCGACTAGGTTTGTTTTGATTTGGTTTGGTATTGAGTAAAAAAACTCGAACCAAACCAACAACAACTGTCACGACTCGAACCTGGGAGGGAGACCGGCACTCGGTGCCTCACCTAACCTAGCATACCAAATTGCGACTAAGGGACTCTGAACATATAATGTCATAATTTGGCCATAAAGCCACTTTGCAAGATAATTTGCGAAGCAAAATATAAAACTAAATGGAAACTAGCGCTGACTAAACATCAATATAAAGTTAGGCCGACAAGGCCATCATAACTATTACAATTGACATATCACCAAAATATACATACTAGGCCTACAAGCCAACATACTGCACTAACCATCAGAATATGTCTAGAAGCCTCTACTGATGGATATATTGTGATCGGAACAAGGCCCCAACCTACCCATAACATATATACATACATACACACATACAGAAGATGTACACGAAAACCTAGACCAGATAACTCCGAAGGATGTGGAGCTTACCGATCAGGCTGAACTCTGAAAATACCTACTGAGGAGGTCTACACGTCTGTCTATTTGAACCTGCATGCATGAAATGCAGCGTCCCCAGAAAAGGGACGTCAGTACGAAATAATGTACCGAGTATGTAAGGCAATAACATAACTGAAACTGAACTAATAATATAATAACTAGAAGTAACTGGGAGTCAAAGATGATCTGGAGATATACTTACCTGCTGATACTGACTCAACTCCTTCAATATAGTAAGTAAAATAAATATCCGGCCCTATAAGGCTCGGTACGTGTAACTGCTCGGCCGTAGTAAGCTCGCTCATAGGCGCTCGGCCATACTAGGCTCTATATATCGGCTATCCTGGGCTCGCTCATAGGCGCTCGGCCACAGTAGGCTCGGTATATATAACTTACCATCTGATCAGAGGTTGCCCAATAGGGGCCTGCCCATCGATTATAGCTCGATGATGGTGAAAATACTGTAATACTATATAGATATATAGACCCTATGCTCACTTGACTGGAAGAAAATAATACTTAACTGAATATAAAGTCCCGATAAGGGAGAATACTATAACTTCTGAAACTAGGATAATGTTAATAAATTCATGAATACGAACTTCTCTTTATGTCTCGTTATCAAACATATGTAGTTACGGGATCATGCCAAAATGAAGGAAGGGCTTAGCCTTGACATACCTTATCACAATCTTTCCAATCCCAGGTTGAACTCCCATCTTCTCACCTTAATCTATAACAACGATAATAATACTATCATTAAGTTACGAAAGGTACAACTATCGCACAACGAACAACATGCTTATTGTGTATTAAAACGGACAACATCTCCCCTATAATCCTTACTTCCTCCAAATTCAATATAACACCAACAACACCAAAAACAACAATAACAACATATATACATTATTTTCCAACCTTATGTATACCATACAATACTACAAAATAGCCCAACATACCCCAATCCCTTCATACACAAAACGACCACCGTAGTAGTGTCAACAACCCGAAAATGTTACGATGAACGACCAGCCCAACATCCTACATTTATGTGGTATTTATCCACACCCTTCCTCCTTCAAAACTCCACAAAATAATAGTAAATCACGCAGCCCAACAGCAACACCAAACAGTCCACAAAACAATCCACAAAACAGTCCGCTATAAGTGAATAACTCGAACTCACGGCTTTCGATCACCGTCCCGTGAGTTCTTATAAATATAGAATAACTTATGATGCATCTACAGAAGTAAAGAATGGATAAAAGAGAGCAGTAAACTTACCTTATTTGTTGGATAACTCAGCTCCTATTTTGGTTCTTCAAACTCTAGGCTTTACCTCCAATTAGAACTTGAAAGGGAGAGAAAATCAATTAGGGTTTGTGGGAAATGTTTGGGAGAATTTTTGCAGAGATTAAGTCTGATTATTTTGACCTATTATCATCTTAATATATGAAGGGGATAGGCCTTTAAAAAGGCCTCTTTGAACGACCCGAACTAGCCCAGTTTTGGACTACTCGAACTGGCCCAATTTTGGATTCTCGTTTAAGCAAGTAGGTGACAGTCTGCGCAGTCTCGCAAAGCCCCCTATATCTCTGTACTCCGATATCGTATTGACAAACGGTTTAATGCGTTGGAAAATAGACTCATAGATTTTTAATTTGATGAGTGGAACACCCCATAGATAAGTATATTGGGATAAAATTGCAGTTATATTTGACCCAAAGTTTCAGTAAAACTTATGAATGTAACTTGTAATGACTTTCATCGACTTTTGTTCCACCACTCGCTTGACTTCAAAACATAACATACGACTATCATACGAATAACATAACTCATAACATAACCTACTTATCATGTTAAATACACTGGTCTTACCCCAAAAGTACATGCTATAACATTCCCAACTTGTCGGCTTTCGACGAAATATTATTTTCTTCAATTCCTTTAGCTTCTGAACCTTCCAACCCTCTTTATACTTGTTGTTCATGATCTTCAATATTTGTAACTTTTGAGGTAACATGATTAACTTGCTTTATATATATTCAAAGATGATCTCATTTTTGGGTCCTACATTAATTTGCTCACGACGTAGTTTTACGTACAAAATATAGGGTGTAACATCATCCCCCCTTGGGAACATTCGTCATCGAATGTTTACTTTTAGAGACTTTGAATTTTTTTTTTGACAGAGTTTCCTCCGTACACTAGACTATAACCATCCTGCATGCAGCCAGAATAATCTCACTAGTGGGGTCTGGGGAGGGTAGTGTGTACGCAAACCTTACCTCTACCTTGGGGTAGAGAGGCTGTTTCCGATAGACCCTCGACTCCCTCCCTCCAAGAACTCCACACATTGCTATTGGGGTGACTCGAACTCACAAACTCTTGGTTGGAAGTGGATGGTGCTTACCACTAGAGCAACCCACTATTTATATGTCGAACCAAACCGACATATAAATATATAATTTTTATATATACTTTTAAGATTTTGTATAGAATTTTCTTTAAAAATATCTAAAAATATTTGGAATTCTCTTGCGGGATATAATATTTAATAGAATATGAAGTGCTCCATATTTGTTAATCTTAAATAAAGGGTTGTATGATCACTTTCTTATCAAATGTTATTGAAATGCGTCAATCTCTTTGTTCTTCCATATTCATATCATATGTTAAGATCTATTAAATTCTTATATTTTTTTCGAATGTGAAGTGATTATTGTTATTTAGGAATCATATCGATTTTTATCTTTAATTATTAAATTCGGTTAACCTTGAAAATGTACATCAACGAAAAATTATTGTCAGGAGACTCAAAAAATAACTATTATGTATTACTAAGAAAATTCTCCTATAAGAATATTTTAATAAATAATATGTTTGTCAATTTTTTATATTTTTAGTAAACATATATTTACTTATAAAAAAATTTAACAAAGTAAGATTAGAATAATATTTAAGTAACAAAACATCCGAAAACCCGACAAAACCGGACCAATCCAATCTGATATAGTTGGTTTGGTTTGATTTTGATAAAAACCGAACCAACTCGATCCATGTACACCCCTACCGATAGTAGTAGTAGGGTGTTCATGGTTCGATTTGGGTCGATTTTTGCCTAAAAAGAAACCAAACTAAGTAAGTCGGTTTTTCAAATATTGGAACCAAACCAAACCAATTAAGTCGATTTTTTATCGATTCGGTTTTTGTCGGTTTTTCGGTTTTTTCGATTATTTATCGATTTTTTCTTAAATATGAGACATACACTACAAAACGCATATTCCGGTGACTACATTTTTGTAATGTAACACTATCAAACTAATTGCTCTTTGAGAAATCTATCATTTACCAAGATATATTGATGATAATTGACTCAAATAGTGATGAATAATTTAAGCACTCAATTAAAAATCGATTATTTTTAACATGAAATAAATTCTTGTACTTAGCAAAAGAAAACTACCAATCAAACTAGAAGACAAAATTAGATTATTATAATAGCAAAGAACTAGACCAAAAATACAAATGACTAATATGTACCATAAAATTTCAGAAACTTTATATAAAAATATACATATATATAAGTGTAATAATCAATTTATATAGCTACTTTTATAATCGGTTTGGTTCGATTTTTTTCGGATTTTTTTTATTAAAATCAAAACCAAATCATATTTGATCGGTTTTTAAAATTTAAAACCAAAACCAAATCAAACATAAAAAATATAGATTTTTTAGTCGATTTGATTCGATTTTTCGATTTTTTATGAACAACCTAGTAGTATTAGTAGTCAGCCTTGTAATAAGTTATTGACGGTCTTGAGGGAAAAATTATCTCCTTTTTGTTGATTGGTAACATAATTACAAATAGTAGATCATGTTATGTTTCTAGACGTAGTCTTTATCAAGTTAGGAAACTGATGATTGGAGTTATGTTGGAATAATGCGCATATGGGACATTAATTCTTTTACTAATATACTTCTTGCTTATCTAAAAAATGCTTTTATTAGACCAACACTTGGGAGTAGTAATGGTCAATTGAATTTCTAAATAGAGACTAATTTCTTTCTGACTTGATAATGCGACTTTGCAGGCGTATTTTCCAAATATATAAAAAGGGTAACGGACGCCTTTTACGATGGCTATAGCATAATAAAAGAAAAAAGACAAGAATGAATGAATGGATGTTGGAAGAAAATTGAAAATTACATAGGTAGGAAAATGGGCCCCTTATAAATTGTAATTGTTCTGTTATGACGAAATTAAGCCTACGTGAAAACCTCTCATAGTTGCCAAGTTCTGGATCGTTGTGCAGTATATTCCTATGATCCCAAATTGATAAATGTTAAAAAATTATTGTTCAATCGTATTGTCTTCTTTGTCCATCATATAATATGTTCTTTGCCAGCTTGCGTATTATCACATTGAGTATCTGCTACACCCCAAAGGACTTTGCCCACCAAAGTCGACGTAGATTAAAAGAAATAACCTAATGTGTTTTTTGTCTCTGAACCCTAATATCTCATAATTTTTACTAATTTCATCGACATGTAGACTACACTTTGGGTGCGAGAATCGCATTACACTTTTGGAACTCAAATCCTCTTTATAAAATCATATTCACCTGTGAGGCGCTGACATCCAATATTTTACACTACTTTGATTCTGGTTACCTCACTCCTAAGAAAGTAATAAAAAAGTTTAAGTGGTTATTTAGGTGAAAGTTTGTTTGTTGGGTCCATTCAGCGTTCAGGTTTTGTTAACTGTATTATCTGCAAATGCTCCTAGTCAGGTTTGATGTTGAGTGATATAACATTTCTTAATCAAGGCATATTCCTGATAATGTGATAACCCAAACTTTTGAAAAGAAAGCACTCCAGTATTTCTTCTAACCTAACAGATAAAAGCAGACATAGTTAACCCACCCAAGGAACATACTGTCTTCTTTATCTGATCTACACTTTCTATTTTAGGATGGAATAAAGCAAGGTACCAATATTTACTATCCATTCGTATTTATCTGGGTTACTATTAATGGAAGGGTTCCATAACCTAATTTAGTTGTAGCTTGCAGGGTCAAGAAAGAGTAGATATAAGTAGCAGAAGATGACATGAACTTTTGTAATTCGTATAAAGTATTTTATAGACATCTTAGGCTAGCATGACAGGTAAACAAGCAAATAAAACTAAAGTAAGATCATGGCAACTGAAACTTCTCTTTCCAACTATCCTCTTCTATATTGTATGGAGCATAGGCTACTTTAAGCTCTGCATAGAATATAACCTTTTTCTTCAACCTTCCACTTGCAAGTTACATCAGCAGCTAGAGGCATCAGGCAGATAATAACATCATGACGTTTCGACCAGTCATTCCTCCAAGGTTCTGTCTGCAATTGTATACTCAGATATTCCAGTGAACAAAACGACCAATTGAAAAAGAAAAGTTTGAAGCTAAAAGAACTTTCTGCTCGATGGCATGTTTCTCTCTGGGCGCATATTAGCAAACCTGCGCCGTCCATGGGGAAGAGAGCACGCAAACCATCTCAGAAAGCACTAATGGCTCAAGCAAGCTTGCAATTGCAAAGCAATGCTCAGCGGGGGAAAAGAGGTAGTGAAGTAAGAGAGAAAGAGGCTACTACTCCTCAAATTAGGGCAAAAATCAGTGAAACAGTGGTGCAACCAAATGAAAATGCTAAGCAAAAACAGGTAGAAGCTCAACAGATCTGGAATGAAGTCGCACAACCACCACGAAGCAGCAGCTATGCGGAATCAGCAAGTAAAGGAAGGAAATCATGGGCGGATGAAGTTGAGGAAGAATTAGCAATGCAAAAACAAAAGAAATCTGTGTGGGAGGACTTCGATTTGTCAAAAATTTCTAATGCAAGATTCAAATTGGAATATGTTGCTCCCAAAACTCATGGTGAGTCTCCAATTGTTGAAATTGAGCTAGATGACATAAGCTCTGAAATTGAATTCTGGAAAAATGCTGATGTATGCTATGTGTTAGGGGCACATCCTCCATTTGCAGTAATACAGGGGTATATTCAGAGACTTTGGGCAAAACATGGTATTAATAAGATATCAATGTTGAAGAATGGAGTCACACTTGTGCGATTTGATTCTGAAATTGGTAAGAATGAGGTCATACAAGGAGGGATTTATCACTTTGATAATAAACCTTTTATAGTGAAGGCATGGAGTCCTGATCTAGAGTTCACCAGGGAGGAGTTGCTTACGGTTCCGATTTGGATAAAATTTCCAGGGTTCGATTTTAAATACTGGAGCCCTAAAGGCTTGAGCAAGATTGGTAGTCTAGTTGGGAAACCATTAATGGTGGACCAAAATACTGAAAGGAAGAATGGTTTGAATTTTGCAAGGCTGCTAGTTGAAGTGGAGATGGACTCAAAACTACCTGAAGTGGTGTTGTTCCGGAATGAAAAGGGACAATTGGTAGAACAAAGAGTTAGCTATGATTGGAAACCAACATTGTGCACACATTGCTCAAAGTATGGTCATTCAGAAAGTATATGTAGGAAGAAACATCCAGTAACGCTAGCAACACAACAAGAACAGAAAGGGAAGCAAACAAACAAAGATGATAAGGTGGATAACCAGCTTGCAGAGATAAGATCAGATAAAAGGATGGACAAAGGTAAAACAAAAACTGTTCAAGGCGAGGAAAGGCACACAAGTACTACTAGTAGTTCCAGTTGAGTAACTCCGATGAAAATTGGTAGGGCTAATCCACTACAGGACAAGACACAGATTGAGAGGTCGAATGCTTATGAAGTTTTGCAAAGGGGAGAGACAGAGAACGTAGAAGGTATGAAGAAGGAGAAGAATGTGGGAGGCCAACCATTGCCCCATTTAGGGGATGGTTAACTTACTTAGTTGGAATATATGGGGCTTAAATGCCCCTAATAAGCAAAAGGAGATTAAAGAGGGATAGAATAGATCAAGTAATGGGGAAGCTGTTTGGTGGATGGCAGTTCATCTCAAATTTGGACTGCCATTACAATGGAAGGATAGTGGTTCTACGGAGAGATGATTTGTACAAAATCAAACTTATTGCTATGACTGATCAAATAGTTACATGTGAGGCTCTCTATATACCTCACCAGTTGACTTTTGATGTCTCTTTTGTGTATGCCCATAACACAAGAGAAGAAATGAGAGGTTTATGGGACACTATGATGAATCAGAGTAGAAGAAGTATGCAACCTTGGATGATACCGGGAGATTTTAATGCTGTGCTCCATGATGAGGATAGAATTGGAGGGTTTCCTGTTTCCTGGACTGAGGTGGTGGATTTCAATAACTGTGTGTTTGATGCTGGCTTGATTGAATTGCCTATGCTAGGCAATAGGTATTCCTGGAATGATAAAGGTGTTGATCAGAGAATCTTCTCCAAAATAGATTGGGTTTTTATAAATGATATGTGGCTGGACAATATGCCTACCTGTAGAGCCATTCTTTTGCCGGAAGGCATAAGTGACCACTGCTCTATAAAAGTCTCACTAGCAGAAGAGAATCCTAGGAGGAAAAGATCCTTCCAATACTGCAACACATGGTCACACCACCCTCAGTTTGTGGAGCTAGTAAGAGAGGGGTGTAATACATCATTTGAAGGGTGTAAAATGTTCAAAGTGGTGAAAGAATTGAAATCCTTAAAGAAGAAACTCAGCTGCTTAATTCAGACTGCTTTAGCAATATTGTAAATGAAGCTAATGAGGATAGGAAGATACTGAAGGAGGCTCAACAACAATTGCAGAGAGATCCTACTAACAGGGCTCTACAACAGTATGAACTCGGAATATATCATAGGTTCAGGAAATCCTCATACTTAGCAGAAATATATCTACAACAGAGAAGCAAAGCCGTATGGATAAAGTTGGGTGATGACAATACACAGTACTTCTACTCTGTGATCAAACATAGGAAATTGAAGCACTCCATTACTCAGCTAAAGGATAGAGCAGGAGGATGGCAGAATAAGCCTGACGACATTGCTAGAATATTTGTCGAGTATTATGAAGATCTATTGGGGAGGAGAGATGATTCAAGAACACGAGTAAACAATAGAGTACTACAGGAAGGAACAACACTTACTATTGATCAACATATGGAGTTGTTGCAACCTTATACTGATAAGGATGTGAAAAAGGCTTTATTTAATATTGACAGGAATAAAAGTCCCGGGCCTGATGGATATGGTAGTGGATTCTTTCGAGATGCGTGGAACATTATTGGAATAGAAGTCACAGAAGCAGTACTTGAATTTTTTCAGAATGGCCAACTTTTGAAGCAGATTAATAGTACAAATATAGCCCTTATTCCCAAGATAGAGGTTCCTTAATGTGCAAGCCATTTTCGACCAATTTCTTGTTGCAATGTAATCTATAAGTGTATTTCTAAAGTGATCTGCATCAGACTCAAGAAGGCAATTAAGTACTTGGTAGCAGAGAATCAATCAGCTTTTGTTGAAGGCAGATCAATGATGCACAATGTCTTGATATGTCACGATTTATTAAGACATTACAATAGGAAAACTTCACCAAGGTGCTTGCTGAAGATTGATCTCCGAAAGGCATATGACATGGTTAATTGGGAGTTTCTTAATGAAGCTTTGGAGGGATTTGGATTTCCAAGAAAGTTCAGATACTTAATCATGACATGTGTTTCATCTACAAGTTCTCTGTTAAAATAAATGGAGAAAGCCATGGTTTTTTTGAAGGAATGAGAGGTCTGCGACAAGGAGATCCTATGTCTCCTCTTTTGTTTGTTCTTGTGATGGAATATCTCTCAAGGATATTGAAGATAGCAAGCAGATTACCTGATTTTGGATATCATCCTATGTGCAAGCCAACCAAACTTACACATATTAGTTTTGCAGATGATCTGATGCTTTTCTGCAAAGGTAATGTGAGTTCAGTAAATCGCCTCATGGAGGCACTAAATCATTTTAGTGCCACTACTGGATTGATTGCAAATATGGATAAATCCAGCATCTTCTTGGCTGGAATAGATGATAACACTAAGGAGCAGCTACTTCAAAGAACAGGATTTGTATTGGGTGCTTTGCCTATGAAATACTTGGGGCTGCCACTCTCATCCAAGAAATGGAATAAAATGGATTGTCATCAACTAGTGGAGAAGATTACACACATGAGTTAAAGTCACCTATTCCAGACAACTATCCTATACTGGGAGACTTCAGGTGATAGAAGCAGTGCTATTTTCCATACAAAGTTTTTGGAGTTCAGTGTTCATTCTACCTCAAAGTGTACTGAAGGAGGTGGATAAGATCTGTAGGGAATACTTATGGGGAGGATCAGTTGACAAGAAAAAAAGGGTGGCTTTGTTATCGTGGGAAAAGATCTGCCAACCTAAGAAATTGGGAGGTTTAAATATCAAGGGGTGCAAGGAATGGAACATTGCATCTGTAGGCAAACTAATCTGGCAATTGCAAGTAAATAAGGAATCGTTATGGGTCAAATGGGTATATAGCATTTATATGAAGACAGAAACTAATTTCTGGGAACATAAACCACCGATGGATTGTAATTGGTATTGGAAGAAACTCAACTCCCTAAAAGAAAGAATGCAGGAATGGTATGTACAAGGAAGATATGTGCTTACAGTTAACGGTGAGTATTCGATTACAAGGAGCTATTTGGATATAATTGGCAGTCACTCTAGGATGAGAATAGCTGAACTTGTATGGACTGCTATGGCACAACCAAGGCATAGATTCATAATGTGGTTAGCAATTCATGGAAGGTTGCTTACTAGGGAGAGACTGCTTAAGTTGCAGATACCAGTCGAAAATATGTACTGCTGTCTCTGTGATGCACAGGTGATGGAAACAAATACGCATTTGTTTGGTGAATGTGATTGGTTTCAGAATGTCAAACAAGAGTTGGTGCAATGGACAGGAATACAGGTTCGGGCATGTGATTTTAAGCAAGTTTTAGAAAGTTTCAAACGGAAGCAATGGCCGCGACTCAAAAAAGAGCTGATGACAGCAATATGGGGGGCTCTACTACACCACACTTGGAAAGCTAGGAATTGGAAATTGTTCAAAGGAATAAATGTACATAGATCAGAGATAGTGTCACAGATTAAAAAGGATGTAGTGGTTAGACTAGAATCATATAGAACATCTCGTAGAGCTAGGAGATGTAGAGGATTAGTATATAAGCTTCTGCGTAACTAGCGTTCTGGTTGTTTTTTTTGTTGGAGGCCTAAATTCTGCTATGTGGAATTAGGTGCTCTTTATTTGTAATTGATTTGGTTTGTCAATGGTAATTCACAATGGTTACCAAAAAAAAAAAAAAAAAAAAAAACAATTGATCCCAGTTACACGGGGATCCAATTCTCCTGCCTCTTTGACTATCCTTCTGCCAACTTAATCTGAGTTGCGCATAGAAGAATGTTTAAATAACATTGATCTATTAAATTATAATGAAAGTCTAAACAAGTTAGTAGGAGTACCTCTGCTGACTACTTCCGCTGAGATAAAGCTGCATCATTAATGCAGGAAGGTTTTTTTGCATTGTAGTAAAAATATGCTATCATTTGAACCAGGTCATCAGCCATTCGAATGTCTGCACAGATTTACCCAAAGTGTCAAAGAAAGCAATCTTTCCACGGAACAATGACGCATGGTGAAATTTCAGCTGAAAAGATTACAATTACTATATCAAACTAGCGAGGGAATATATAAGAAGTACCTGTTTCCCTGTAGAGTATCCTATTTCCTCGTAAGAACAATATTTGCGGACATTCTTTAACTTTAAGAGCATAGGCTAGATCCCTCTCAATATTTATGTCAATCTTCACAGTCTACACCAAGTAATTAGGAGGATGGTAAGTTAAGAGTGTTCACTAATGGACAATGTCAGGATAAGTGATTATGTTTCACAAACCCGAGGAGGCAAGCGCTCTTTGTTACTCCAGTACACCTTGGCTGCTTTCTCTAGCTCCTTAAGAGCTTTCCAATTGTCACTAGCCCTGTGCCATTATGAAAACGTTTCAAAGAACACAGAAGATTTGCATATTGCCAATTGTATCTCTAAGAACTACAACTAGTAAATAAAACAAGATTCACTTGCCGATTGTATCTCTCGAAAACAAGAACAATGAGGGGGCTGGGATGAAAAGCAAAGCTCTCCCACTCTAGGCAATTGATTTCCTTCACCCAACAATCATCAATCTCCCCCTCCCAATCGATCTCAACTCCATTTTCTCCTACTACATTTTTTATTGGATGCTTGTCAAAATACTCTGATGCTCTTATTCCCCATCCAACATCTGCATCTAGAGGCCAATCTGGATCCTCCTCCTCAACGATCATTTTCTTTTCTTTCATATCCCTGCTACTATCATCTTCATCTTCACTACTTTGATCAGAATCAGTGTCATCATCAACCCTATCTTTGAGGATATTCTCGGTATCTTTTATTATTTCAGAGTTCTGCTCCCGGATAGAAGCAAATGTCTTTTCTAATGAATCACGAACAAAATCCTCAACTGCAGCTGCTTCGCTCCTGCGGCCACGTCTTGGCTTTTTAGGGATTGTTGCAGGGAAGATCTCGACGGGATCTTTGTCTTCATTAAGAGAAACTTTGCTTTCGCTGGACCTTGTAGCTTTCCTAGGCCTTGAACCAGAGTTATGCTTAGGATCAGGCACATGTTCCTCTTTGGACTTTCTTGAAGTGGCAAAGCAAGTCAGACGTTTCAAAGGAGACGGTAATAGGTAGTTAGCAGAAGAGCAAGAACTACCCTGTTGCCCCGCTTTGGGAACAGAGAATGATGAAAGTGCACAAAAGTTGAGACTCAATGCAGAATGGATGACCATTTTCTCTCACTTAAATACTCTGCTGGGAGGATTAAAAACTCTATGAAGGATAACTCCTAAATAAGAAACCTGTTGATAACACCAATCAAAATTAAGAACACAAATTTATTAAACTCTTTTAGTGTACAAAACACAATATTGAAAACATTTAAGACTAAAGACTCGAACATCCACAACATAGTATTATGCACATACTAATTAAAAGATAGATGGAAAAAGAAGAAAGGAGACTAGCATTACATTCAAAGTTAATATTGGCAACTATTGTGCTATAGCTACATTCGGGGAAGCTAGTAAAACAAGGTGTAGAAGTCATAGTATTGATGTTGAGTATAGTACTAACTCTTTTGAAGTTTCAATCTCTTTATTCATAGAAGAAATTAAGAGCATGATCATCAAAACGCTATAAACAGAAAAGGGAAAGGGAATGACCGGGAGAAGGGCTGAATGAACCTTTAAGAACATTTATTACCTGAACCAGTGGTGTACCTGTACGCGTACGCGTAGAGATTGAAAGTCTAACAAGCAAAGAATACGCGTACGCGAGAGATTGATAGTCTAACAAGCAAAGAATCAAACATGTGGTGTGCACAATTCATCAGACTATTCTCGAAATTGCATTATAATCCAGAGTACTTTAATTAAGTATATAACTTCATGACGACAACAATGGCAAGAACCAGCAGCAATTAGAGCTTAATCAATCAGAGAACCAAAGTTTGTAATAGTATATACCAAGCACCTTGTTACAATATTACCTACCAAAATACTGCTAAAAGTCTAGAAAGACAAAGGGACTACCTGAGAAAGAATAATCTTAATCTGAGGATTCTATTGTCCAGTTCCTACTTGCTTTAATCTTATAAGAAATAAGTTTAGTCACTTCATCGAAATAGCACCGCATGAGTTCGAGAAGAGGGGAGAGCAAAGGAAGAAGAAGAACCACTATCGACTTGCTCTCTTTGAAAGAAAAAAAGGAGCTATTCAGGAGAGAATATGACAAACTAGCCCCTTATCTTTGGGTAGATTCAAATTGGTCATCTAAATTTGATAAAAGTGATCACTTTTGGTCCCAATTAAATATTGCTCCCTCCGGTCCACAATATGTGATCATTTTACCTTTGGCACACCCATTAAGGAAATACGAACTCCTAGAGAAAAAAGATGCATTCACTAAACTAACCTTAATTAATTGTTACTTAGACACGTTGGAATATGTAAATAAGGATAAATTTTAGAAAAATAAAATTAATTCCTTCTTGATTATGTAAATAGACACTTATGGTCACTTATTGGAGTAACAATTTTTAGCATATCGTCTAGCTTTTATGTGAAGTATGAGGGGAAAAAAAAGATTTAACCAAAAATACTAGGAATTGCATAAATACTTAGTAGAAACTGCGCCAAAAGCTGCACTAGGCTCCAGAAATAAACGAGAAATAATAAACGGGTGAGTTCTTGTTTAATTTGTTTTTTTAACAGTAGCAAAATACTACATCTGATGTGAGTTCTTGTTAATTTATTTTATAAACAGTTCCTACAAAATGCTAGAGGTGTCACGTGAGTGGAGTGACAGCTGAATCCTAGCTGGAGAAGAGTTAGTTAGAGTAGTTATTAATTAAGTAATTAGGAAGGTATTTAGGTCGGTTATACTCTGTATAAGTATGTGTACAGTGCATTATTCAATATAACAGTGAAAATTCATTTCCTCTCTTTCCCTCTTTGTTCCTCTCAGTCGTGTAAAGCTTTCTACAGAAGCATTCATGGCCGACGCTCAACATGGTATCAAAGCTTAACACGGTAGTCACGCTCGTCTGAATTTCCTTTTGATTTCACATTAACGAAGCTTTTCCTTCTTCTTCTCCTTCGTCTCCTTCCCTTGGAAATATCGTATCGACAATGGCAGCGGAGAAAATTGATCACACTCATCCTTTGTTTGTGCATCCTTTAGATACTCCAAGCTCCGTGTTAGTTCCAGTCCAGCTCACAGGTTCTGAGAACTATGGGATATGGCGAAGGTCGATGAGAATTGCACTTCGGGCAAAACGGAAGCTAGGGTTCGTCACCGGTACCTGTAACAAGGATCAATTTAGGGCAGAATTACATAAAGATTGGCAAACATGTAATGCGATAGTGCTCTCGTGGATCAAAACACGGTGTCACCAGATTTACTTAGTAGTATTGTGTATGCTTCTAATGCTCATTTAGTCTGGGAATATCTAAAAAAGAGGTTTGATAAGGTGAATAGGATGAGGATTTTTCAGCTACATCGAGAAATTGCTACGATTTCTCAAGGAACAGATTCAATATCCATGCATTTTACGAAATTAAAGGTACTCTAGGCTGAGTATGATTCGATGGTACCTTTAACAAACTGGAAGGAATATACAGATCATCTTCAACGGCAAAGGTTGCTACAATTTTTAAGTGGGCTGAATAATTCCTATGCTCAAGCTAGAAGACAAATCTTAATGAAGTCAGTAGAACCTACCTTGAATCAGGCTTATGCTCTAATTGTTGAAGATGAGAGTCAAATGAGTACATCATGAACATCACATACAGGACTGAGCTCAATAGCAGAAGGGTACGACATCACAACATTATGGAGTTCAGCTGCTAAAGGAGGCTCAATGCATAAGAACAAAAGGAACTTCAGCATATATTGTGAATTTTGCAAGATGAAAGGACATAGCAAAGAAAATTATTATCAACTCATTGGTTACCCAACTGACTTCAAAGGCAGAAGGAAACCAGTACAAAGAGTTACTGCTGGTCATCAACACCAAGGAGAAAATGTTGCACATCATGGAGGCTCCTCAGCTCAGGCTAGAGAAAATTGTAATGCAGGACAAACAGGTATGGTTAGAGTTGTTTTTGGAAATTCTCTTGCAGGTATAGCAAGTGGAAGCAACAATCATATGCATATGCAAAGGTAAGGTTCTCACAACTCTATGCAGATGCAAGAGGCACAGTCTCAAGGATCTACAGGGGGTGTTACTGTCACTTTTACTCCTGAGCAATACAATAAAATCCTACAGATGCTCAACAAAGAAAATGTACCAGAAATATCAGCTAATATGGCAGGTACTATTTGTTCATTCATGGCAAGTAAAACAAGTCACAGTTGGATAGTGGACACATGAGCCACAAACTATATGGTATCGACTCCTGAAATGTTATTTGATCTATATGATTACCCTAAGCAGGGATCACTAGTACATTTGCCATATGGAAAATAATTGCCAATTACTCATGTTGGTAAATGTAGGTTAGAACAAGGGGATATTAGTGATGTGATGTGTGTACCTGAGTTTAAATTTAACTTGTTGCCAGTGGCTAAACTAACTAGGGAGCTGCAGTTCTTCATGTCCTTCTATCCTGATTTCTTACTGATGCAGGACCTTCACACTGGGAAGGTGAAGGGGACTAGTAAAATGCATAATGACTTGTACTACTAGAGAAACAATATACAAAATAAAGCACCACACTCATTGGCTTCCAGGTTGACATTATCTACAGGACTATGGCACAGGAGACTAGGGCATGTCCCTTACAAAATACTACAACAAATAGATATATGTAAAACTGTCAATACAGCTGCTGACAGAACCTGTTCAATATGTCCATTAGCCAAGCAAATTAGGTTACTCTTTCCTCAAAGTACTAGTAGAGCTGGTAAAGTGTTTGAACTAGTTCATGGAGATATCCGGGGGCCTTACAGGGTGTCTACTCATGATGGTCATAGATTCTTTCTTACTCTAGTTGATGATTGTAGTAGAATGGTTTGGATTTTCTTGTTAAGGTTGAAGAGTGATGTATCAGTTGTAATGAAGGACTTTATGAAACTAATAAAGACCCATTTTAATGGTTCAATCAAAGTCTTCAGAAGTGATAATGGTACATAATTCTTTAATTTACATTGCAAAGATCTGTTTAGTATTGCAGGCATTGTACACCAGAGCTCTTGTGTTCATACTCCATAGCAGAATGGGGTCGTTGAAAGAAAGTATAGACAGCTTCTTGAAGTAGTAAGGGCTCTTAGATTTTAGGCATCTATACCTCTAATCTTCTAGGGGGTATGTGTTCAGAATGCAACATATTTGATTAACATGATTCCATCTATAACTTTAGCAGCCAAATCTCCTTTTGAGGCATTCTCTGGAAGGATTCCTAACTTGCAACACCTAAGGGTGTTGGGGTGTTTATGCTATGCCACAAATGTAGCTGCCAAGAGTGACAAATTTGCAAGTAGATCAATCCCTACAGTACATATGGGATATTCTAGTACTCAGAAAGGTTACAAGTTGTATAACCTGGCTATAAAGTTGTTCTTTGTGAGCAAAGATGTGTCTTTTAGGGAAGATGTTTTTCCTTTAAAGTCCTCTCATTATCAGTTGAGGCCTCATGTTGTTGTTGACTACTGGGATGACTCCTATGATCCATTTGATCTTGGAGCAGAAGTTGTCACAGGTTTATTGGAGCCACCATCTACTACTGACACTGTCCATAGTCCTTCCAGTACTCCTGGTCCTTTGTCTTTCGATGGTTCAACAACTAGTAACACCGATGATACTACCAGACACACATTACATATTTCCTTAGCTAATGAAATAGTGGTGCCTGCCACTAGAACTGGTTCTTTTATGCTTGATGACACAACTCATGGTGCTGCTTCAGATCTTGTTGGTCCTAATGTGTCCACGGGACCAATAAAATCCTGCAGAACTTCTAAGCCTCCTGGCTGGCTAAATGATTACATACATACAGTGTCCAAGCCCACATCTAATATAGCAGAAGGATCTACTTATCCCTTGTCAGCATATACGTCTTATGCTTCACTCTCAAATTCATACTGCAAAGTTTTATGCAACATGTCCACTATTGGAGAACCTGATACTTATTAGGAAGCTTTACTCAATCCTCACTGGGTAGAAGCCTTGAAACAAGAGCTGCAGGCCCTACAAGACAACCATACTTGGTTACTAGTTGAACTTCCTACTGACAAGAAGCCCATTGGGTGTAAATGGGTGTTCAAAGTCTAGTACAATGCCAGAGTAGAGGTAGACAGGTACAAGACTCACCTAGTGGCCAAGGGCTATACCCAGCAGGAGGGATTAGATTACCAGGAAACTTTTTTTCCAGTGGTAAAGATGGTTACTGTGAGAAATGTCTTGTCTCTAGCTGCTATGTTTGGTTGGAGATTGCACCAGTTGTATGTCTTCAATGCATTCCTTCAGGGTTACCTTATAGAAAATGCTTATATGGTTCCACTATTACACCATATATTTTCGTACGTAAAACTGCATCGCGAGCTAACTAATGTAGGACAAAAAATAAGATCATCTTTGAAAATATATAAAGTAAGTTAATCATGTTACCTCGGAGGTTACAAATATTGAAGATCATGAATAACAAGTACAAAGAGGGTTGGAAGGTTCAGGAGCTAAAGGAATTGAAGAAAATAATATTTCGTCGAAAGTCGACAAGTTGGAAATGTTATAGCATGTACTTTTGGGGTGGGACCATGGTGTTTAACATGATAAGAAGGTTACGTTATGAGTTATGTTAGTCGTATGATAGTCGTGTGTTATGTTTTGAAGTCAAGCGAGTGGTGGAACAAAAGTCGATGAAAGTCATCACAAGTTACGTTCACAAGTTTTACTAAAACTTTGGGTCAAATGTAACTATGATTTTCTCCCAATATACGTAGAGTTATGGGGTGTTCCACCCATCAAATTAAATATCTGTGAGTCTATTTTCTAACGCATTAAACCGTTTATCAATACGATATCGGAATAGAGAGATATGGGCGTGTTTGCGAGACCGCATAGACTATCACCTACTTGCTTAAACGAGAATCCAAAAATGGGTCAGTTCGGATCGTCCAAAAATGGGCCAATTCGGGTCGTCCAAAGAGGCCTTTTTAAAGTCCTATCTCCTTCGTATAT